AAAAAAAAAAAAATGCAATTCTGATAATTTTAACGGGAATCACTAGTTGCCTACTCACTTGATTATCGGGAGTAATAGGAGATCCACCGCTATCCCTCCTCTCGAGAGGTTCTGTACATTTAAAAACACAGATATTAAATAAAATATGCCACCAGGAAAGGTGAAAACTCAACAAACACAAATGAGCAACCGTGGTAAATGTCCTGCACCATGGCTGGATGAAAACACTATGTGGTGCAAGAAATAAGCCGTGACTCAATTTACAAGCAAACGTGTACAAGAAACCAGCGACAAAACTATTCATGAGGCCACCGACATGGTTGACCAAGTTATGCATAAGACATTGGTAACTGTTGATTAGCTTCCTGAAAATAATCACTAAACTCAACAATTTAGACATCATGTGGAAAAACAAAGGCATACTGGGGCTTTGAGGTGTATCATGATTCTGTTCTCGTGGGCTATCATTAGACTTGTTTTGCAAAAACTCATCGTCCTCAAATTTGGCTTTCTCAGAATGCTTCTCAGGATCATCAGAGGATGCCCATTTGCTCAGCGTGAAATGTGGCAACTCCATATTAGGATCACCTGGAATGATAAATGTCAGTCCATTTATGAAGTCATGAGGCTCGTGCAATTTTAGTATTTGGGAGAGAAAGCTTCCCTATAAAATCATACTCCCTCTTTTTTTAATAAGTGTCGTTTTGAGAAGTTGCACAGTAATTAAGAATCTTTTTTTGTCAATAATAACCCTCATTAATGAGGATAGAAATAAATGTTTTGAGAAAAGATGAAGAATGAATATGAAAAGACGTAGTGTATTTATTAGCTAGACGAGGATAATAATGGAAAAATATGTACAAAAGATCCAAAACGTCTTTATTTAGTTAATTGATAATAAAGCCAAAATGACATTTAAAAAAAAAATAGGAGGTAGTATTTATTAAGAAGTGACCTTACATTTTGCATTGTCGAATCTTAATATGTATCCTCCCAGTAAATTAACAAAAATTTTAGTCACATATTAACTGTATTTAGGAAAGTTTCTGAGATCGAATGGCCCTCCAGCGGACCTCAAAGTATCACCTCACTTCATATACAAAGATTAAAAAAACGTCAAAGACAATTGAAGTACCATTGTGTACTTGCAATGTCGTTGAAGCATGGTGAGATTTGAGGTCAAACAAGACGCTGCTCACACGTAAAGCACCCATTGACTGTCGGGCACTGGCTAAATCCAGCCATCCCTGCAAAAAAACACAAAATTTGGGATATGATGTACCTCGCTAACACGTGGATCAACGATCAATTAGAACAAGTGCAATTCAAAGGCTCAATCACTTCACTTGCTCGTCATAGAAAACGAGCTGAAGCCCCAAATTTTCTCATAACATGCCTAATATACTGAAGAGGCAAACCCTTTTCTAATATTTCATCAATTATGCAACAAGAGTTAACTGCACAAGATAAGCATTATTTCAACCCAATGCACACAAGTAAAAAAACTTCACAAATCATAGCTGCATATAATTATAATTGCTCTGTTAATAAATCTCTTGTATACTTCAAAATTAAGGTTTTCTTGAAATTGCAACCTCCAAGATCCCAACTCATTTCTCTCAAATTCTCAATCAACTGTGTTCCGACAAGAAGATTCAAGGAACAAATGGGAAACCCTATTAATCAAAGATTTAATTTTTATGCAGAAAAAGACTGAGAATCACTATCCATATGACACAGATAAACAGAAAAATAGATCAAGAAAATCAAATTATGTTTTTTTTTACCTGGCGAAGGGATGAAGATAGAGAATCCATTAGGGTAAGATAACTATCCATGGAGTCCAAGAAATTCAATATATGCTGTTCGCTTTCCACCAATTCATTGGTTGATACAGTCGTATTGTTCGAGCTGTGCATATTTTTTTTTTTGTAAGAAAAAATAATGTAATCTTGAATCCTTCGAGCAGAGTTCAAACGTTTGATTTTTGAGTAATAAAAGTTGGATTCGTAAGGTGTAAATTGTGGGTAGTTCACCCCCGGCTCCCGTTACATTTCACTTCTTCCCCTTGTATTTTTTTTTTTTTTAAATGAATTACTACACATCGTTTTGCTACGGAGCTATGCACAGTTATTCACAAATTGGGTATTGACATGTGTTATATAATAAATACATATTGGATATGTGTCATCATATCAAGTTATGGATGACTCCATAGAATTTCTGTACAAAACATTGTCCCTTTTATTGTCTACTCCTGCAATATAGGGGTGAGCATGGGTCGGTACGGTTCGAGATTAAAGATTTTTATTTTTCGTACCAAAATATCGGTTCGGTTCGGTTTAGAGATTTTTATTTTTCGGTTCGGTATTCGGGACTATTGGGACGGTTCGGTATGGTTTGATTTGAATCTTCGGATATTTTTATTTTTAAAAATTATTTTTGAATGACTACCTAGTTATATTTTAATTTTTATATGCTTTAAAAAAACAACAGTCATCAATAATTCATCATATTGAATATTTTATTTTAAAACCAATTCTAGAAATAACTCTAAATTTTATTTATTCAATTGTTACATACTTCAATAAAACTAACATTCATCCTTTAATAAAACTAACATTCATCAGTACTTCCTCATTTTAAATATTTTATTTCATTTAAAGATTTTATTTTGAAATCAACTTAATCTTTTAATAAAACTAACATTCATCAGTACTTCCTCATTTTAAATATTTTATTTCATTTAAAGATTTTATTTTGAAATCAACTTGACACTAACTCAAAACAGACATTCATACAGAATAAACACTGCACATTGTTCCATTATTTTTCCTGCATTTGATGATAATTCTTAGTGAATATCAATCTCAAGCTCAGCACCTAAACCACAAACCGTCAATCAACCTGGCCCATTCATTCATATGCTTAATCACCACAAAAGAATCAATTCAAAACAACCAATGTCAATAACATCTTCAAAGATAGAGAGAAAAAAAAAAAAAA